TTCAAGAAGTATGGGGTAATACATATTGATGAAAAGGTGGAGTTTGGTTTGACATAAGTAGGGTCTTAAATGTTAAAATGCATGTATTAAAGTGCTCCGGAAAGTGTAGTCACTCTTATATATAAATGTATCCTACTCGTCTCGTAACCTACATTACAACCAAATGAAGTCCTACTTGATCCTAGACTGAATGAGCTCGATTAGTGGAGTATTACACTACGGGCAAACCTATAGTGCATTTTTTGTGGCATATGAATGTCCCTTATGAGAGTGAGTGAATTCTTTCTATCTTGAGTTCCTAAGTGTTGTTAACTTGTATTGTGTGTGGAACTACTCTCGGTTGTTATGAGAGGGCACTTGATTCATGACGGAAAGATGAGTCTTAACCTCTGCGTAGAGTAAAAGAGTAAGTTAGGAGTAGTGCGCGGCATGTGAGAGTCAACTCTTGAGGCGAAGATGTTACACTACTGGGCTCAATCCTTAGGATGTGTTCTTGGTGTGATGAGTTAGAGAAGTTGCTTAGTGAAGTAGGCCTCTGTAGAGTATGGTTTGATTGCTCGGGGACGAGCAATGGTTGTCACACCCTTTTTTTAACCTCAATTAACCCTCTTTAATTATATTAAAAGTGATTTTTGAAGCTCAAAAAGGGTTTCAATTATGAAAGGTGACTAAAATTTGTGTTCAAAAAGGTTCTCAGAGTCGTCACCTGACATTGATTTCGGTGTGCCAGGTCACCGTTTTTAAAAATAATTTTTCATTTTAAAACACTTTGGACTCCAAAACTAAGTCTGCACCAGAGATTTGGGTAAGAGGGTTCATTTGATTCGAGGAGAAGGTGTTAGGCATTCCCCGAGTCCCGTAGAAGTCACGATTGCGTAGTCAATCTAGTTGGCTTTAAGATATTCAAATTGAGGTAAAACACAGAAAAAGGAAAATAAACACACAAGAGGCCCGAAGTCGTTCCCAATTAAACAAAAGAAAATAAAATAAAAAAATTAAAGTAAAATCCTAAATACTACTCCCTCGTTTAATATTAGATGAGGTAGTTTGACTTGGCATGGATTTTAAGAAAAAAGAAGAAAACTTTTGAAACTTGCGGTCTTAAAAGCTTAAGAGGTAAAAAGTTTGTGGGGCCATGACATTTGTGTGGCTATAAAAGCTTCTCATTAAGGGTAAATGGGTAAAATGAAGATTTTAAAGTTGAATTATTTTTAAATTTAGAAATGTGTGATTTGTTTTGGAATAGACTAAAAAGGAAAGTACCTCATCTAATATGAAACAGAGGGAGTAATATATACTATACTTTTCCACAAAAGTTCGTCATGGCCTCCAGATACATGATACTACGGGGCATACCCGGGATAAAAATATATACAAAATCTACGGGGCATTCCCCTGAATATAAACTAAAGAGAGCGACCTCTTACCTCGAATAAGAATAAGATAAAAGCCTAAGGCTTACCTACCCGAGTGATAATGGCCTAAAACATGCTGCTAGCGGTAAAATAAAGTGAAATAGAAGGAAAGTAAAACTAAAACAAAACAGTGACTTTAATCCAATGCTCACTTTCTTTTTAGCTCCATTTAAACCCAATTTTCATAGACCAACAAGCGATTCTTTTCATTATCTTCTTCCATTAGTATATGAATTCACATCAAATGTCAATACAGTATTGCAGCAGAGAAATCGAACACAAAGGAAAAATAATAGAATAGAAAATTAGCTTTGGCTCATTTAAAACATAGAATACCATAGAGAGCAACAAATTAGACAACTAATCAAACGTTAATTATTCCAAAAATAGAGTGAGATAGAAGAAAGAATGAACCTCAAAGTTTTGAATCACAAAATTCATTAACTGAACGGGACCTTGACCGAAAAACTTTAGCGGCGCCGGAAGCTAGAATGAAAATTGATGACCAGAAACACCTCGAGTCGAACTCCGAACCTCAATTGATCTCCATTTTCATACTTGAAAACCAAAACTCAAAACCCAAATAAAAAAAAAAATTGAAACGTCTATATCCGTATATGTATACGCATATTTTTGTCTTTTTCTGAAATTTAAACAAACATTGAAAACCATAAAAATGAGCCGCTGAATCCTTTTCTTTGGAACCCAATTTTCATCCCAAGTTTCCGTCCCGAATTTCCCCAATGACTCTGTCCATGCTCTGCCTCATTTTCGACCCTCTATCTCTGTTCTTTTCTACCTTTGACGTCTGTTGCTGCTAGCTGGAGGGTGGTCGCTGGGCTAGTCGCTGCGGTGGTCCATTGACGGCTGGAGATGGTTCTCTAGGGATTTTAGGTGTAGTGGGTGCTGGGGTCTGTTCTAGGGCTAGTCTGATGGCTTAGGGTGTTGGTTGTGTTCAAGAAGAAAGATGGTGAAGGGTGTCGAGAGGAGGTGGCGTGCAGCGGAAATAGGGTGGCTGGTGAGAGGTGGGCGGCGACTTTGGCTTGTGGGGTGACGACTGGAGATGGTTCTCTTGTTTTTTGGGTCTTCTAGGGTTTTTTGAGGGTAAGGGAGAAGAAGAAAAGGGTAGGGCTAGAATGTGGGTTGTCTAACTTGGGCCTCTTGCAAGAATTCAATTTGGGCTCAAAAATTCTACAAAATTGCTTCAAAATTGGACTTATTAAAAGTCCAAAATTCATTAACTAAAAAAAAGTCTTGTCTTCCTCTTTTATAAAATTATAAAGTACTTATAAAAATGTCATATCACCCCCAATTAATTAAAATTAAATATACACATAAAACTAAAACTATTTTTGGTATGTTTTTTTTAATTTTATTTATTTTTTATTTTTATTTTTATGAAAAGTAGATAAATTAAAAGTAACTAGATAAAATATCAGTTAGTTAAATAAAAGAACATATTTTTGTAATTTTTTACTTTTGTGATAAAATACAGCCAAAAGGTCCAAACTAGTTAAAATAGCGATATTAGACTTAAACTAAATATTTAAATGCTAAAAATGTGTAAAATCTCGGGGAGGGTCAAAAATTACATGTCTACAATGGTTTAAGTATGAGGTGTTGATAGTAGGCTATACTTATGTAGTTTAGCTACCGTTTACGCTCCAACTTAGCTATGCTTTATTGTTATATGAATCTTAAATGACAACAAATGACTCTAATTATGAACTTTGTGGTTTACAAGAGCAATTCCTGACTATGAGGACATTAAAGAGTGTTTGGAGTTAATTTAGAGCAAGTAAGGCCAATCGGAGGTGAGTGCGCACAAAAGAAGAAGGAAAATGGAAGGCAGATATGCACGGTCCATCCGTGATCCAACCGCGGCCGCACTCGTCCCTCCGAGGATTGTTATTTCAGGGGTAAAATTGTAAGTTTAGGGGCGACTCTCCTTGATCTATAAGAAGCCCAGCTCACCCAAAAAAGAAGATATTGAGGTTTTTTGAAGGGATTTTGAAGGCAAGAACAGGCAAGAAGCAAGGTGGAAGATTCAACATAGAGTTTTTACCTTTCTTCATCTTGTTTTTATCATTGATGGTAAATTCTATTGTTATGATTGTGAAAATGATTATGCATAGCTAAACTTCTAATCTAGGGTTTTGATTGAACCTCTTGGAGGATGAATTTCTTGTTATGTTAATATAGATTTGCCATAGTATTTTCTCTGTTTGTTTAACTATATTGTGATTGCTGTTGATTGAAGGGCCCTCAAACAACTGCGCCTATTTAGTATGTATTACTCGGGAGATAGTGCATATTTAGGTAGTTGTTGAACAACATCACTCCTAAAGTATATGGGGGATCGATACAAAGGGTTTAAAGGTGGGATTAGGGATAACAAAACCTTGGGTGCGATATAAGTGAGCTGTAACTAAGGCCAGCTAGCGTAATTCCGGAGAATATGTCTAGTATATTGCTGTAATTACTCGAGAGAGAGTTACGACAGTCAGAGAGCTCACGATCGATAGAGAAGACTTAGGCAAATTTATAGCAAATATAGCTGAAAGGATTCCGACAAGAGGGGAAATCGGAACCTTAGACCATTCCCATTCTTGCTTACAAACCGTTTATAACTAGTTCTTAATTATTGCAATTTTATTACGTAATATTTAGTTAATAAACATCTAATTTGTTACTCAAATATCTCTAAAGATTGAATACGTGAATTTCTGTTAGTCTAATAGCTGTGATTGATATGTTAATTTCCTATGGGATTCGACTCCGGACTTGTTAACCGTACCGGAATATATTTGCAACGACCGCTTTGTCCTTTTTATAAGGCATAGTTGGGTGTGATCAAGAAACATGAACTTTTTAGGTACTTTAACATGAATACATTATTTAGGTGTTTATTTTTGGAAGAAGAAGAAGAAACATCAAAATTTATAGGCTCAACCGAAAATCCAAAATATCCAAACTGATTAATCCAAAATCGACTGAAAAAATCCGATCAAATCCGTGCTTATTTGGATTGGATTTGTATTGTCATTTATTTAATCCAAAAACCGAATATCCAAGCCGAAAGTTTCATATTCAATCCAAACTGCTGAACGCCCACCCCTATGTACGGCTATCAAAGGTAGAGCCAAAATTTGAAACTTATGATGAGTTTAGTATTCTAATTCTTTTAAGTTACTAGGTTCTAAATTAATAATTTGTACATAATTCAATAATTTTTAAGACAAAATTACAAGGTTTGGAGAAAAGTTACAAGGTTCAGCCGAACCCGTATCCGAAGGGCTAGCTCCACCCCTTACGGTACTTGTATGCTAGATGAATACTTATGGTCCCCCTTTCTCGCGTAAAAACGATCAGAATTCTATCATGCCACATTTTATTGGAAAGGATCGAACCATGGGAATGAATCTACGGGGTTATCACCTTCTTTGGCCAGATCTTTTAATAATTAAAGTTCACTGCGACCGCTCACAGGTTCTGCTAGATAACAGGTCTTAATAAGAACATAATCTACTTAAATTGAAACAATGATTAATCTCGAATGTTATATAGATCCCAAGCCAACATGTGGACAAACTGAAAAATATTGATAAATTATAAATCCAGATTAAAGAATCCTTTAAGGTTGGTGCGGGTAAAGTTTAACAGGAAAACCGTTGGCAGGAACAGGCATTGGATCAACAATGATTTTCTCATTAGGAATAATTTTCTGCCACTTGAACCTTTTAACAAGATGGTGCATAAACACAAGTATTTCTAATCTTGCATACTCTTTTCCAGGACACATTCTTGGACCTCCTCCAAATGGAACAAATGTATAAGGAGCTGGTCCTCTTCCCTCAAATCTTGATGGATCAAACTTCATAGGTTCAGGAAAGCATTCTGGATTTCTGTGGGTTGTGTTTGAGCTCCAATATAGCTGCATTATTAATTAAAGAATTAACCTAAATAGCCGTCTACTCAACTGCATAATTCATGTATAATATGTGTGTAATCATGCATAATCACTACTATAAATTCTCTTAAAACCGTCTAGAAGCCAGGGGCGGATTTATAGCCCCAGTCGTGGGGCACATGAACCCATGTTCTCATCGTCAAACTAGGTGTTTTATGTACATGTTTTCTAGAATTAGTGTAATATTATCTGTTGGCATTCATGCTCCAAAAAAATTGAATGACATACTTGGTTGACTATTGGATTATTTACCTGTGGAACATGGATCGATCCCACTTAATACTTTTTTTTCTTGTTTTTTCAGTGGACACATATTTAAGAAATCCTAAATCTGCCTCTGCCAGAAGCTACCTACCGCCATCGGTCAGTCAAAAAAGCTGACCGCAAAATTGTCCGGGTTAGACGGAATAGTCAAAAAGCAATTTTTTTAATTACATACCGACCGAAGGCGGTCGGTAAAGTTTGGCGCTATTGGCCGGGATAAAGATACCAACCGATAACGGTCAATAAACTGGTCAATCCTTTGACCAAAATGGTCAGACTTGCTTAGTCAATACTTTTTTTGTGTAGCGACCGATACTTGGTCCCACTTTGTGATATTATAATAATTATATTATAATTAAAAAAATAATTATAAAATATAGACGACTTTTACCCCTTTTTTAGTAGTAAATCAATGTATATCTATGTCTATCGGATAAGAAAAGTAAACAGTAAATTCAACTAGTTATTTGTATAAAGATCCCTTATTTAGTGAAGCCAATTATTTTTCGAAAATATTTGTGCTTTTATTGGTGCAAGAATGTGTTAATTAAGGAATTTAGAAGGAATATGAAGTAATTATTATACCTTCCATCCTTTGGGAATGGAGAAACCATTAAAGTTTAAATCAGAAATGGCTTCTCTAAAAGCACCTTGGAGAGGTGGCGCAAGTCTTAAAACTTCACATGCTACGTTCCATGAGTATTTCATCTTCCGAAGATCATACCACGTCAATAATTCTCCTGCTGATTTTGACTTTGCTATTTCCATTTGCTCTGTTTTATCACACACAAACAAAGAGAGCAAAGAAAACAGAAAAAAGACAAGTTAACAGCTTTTGATAGGTGTAAATAGGGGTGGTAAACAGGCGGATCAGGTCACATATGGGCGAGTTGAAAAGCTGAATAATATGAATATCCATAGTATTCATGACTTCTTGAATATGATCACTTTTGAGAGAATTTCTAGTCTTCCAAATTTGAGGAACCCCCAATTAAAGTCTTTACATACGTAAAATTTTATCTATTTTCTAAGTGGATAATATGGTTCTGATCCAATTTGACCCGTTTTTAAAAAGTTCATTATCCAACCTAATTTTTAGTGGATAACATAGATAAATAATAAATTTTTTATTCACTTTGTCACTACTAGATGTAAATATTCGGTGTGGATAAGTTTTTACCATAAATCTTTTCCTCTCTTTTTAATTTCTTCCGGACTATAGGGATACAATCTAAGTTTTGCCGGCCAATTTCTATCTCACCATTCATGGTAAGTGGGTGTTTGGACATAAGAATTGTAAAATTCCAAAAAAGTAAAAAAAGATTCAAGTGAAAATTGTATTTGAAAATTAGAGTTGTGTTTGGACATAAATATTTTTGGGTTGTTTTTGCATTTTTGTGAGTGATTTGAGTGAAAATTTTGAAAAACAACTTTTTGGAGTTTTTCAAATTTTCGAAATATTTCAAAATTGATCTTCTAGTGAAAATTGAAAATTTTATGGTGAAACACCAATTATAATAATGAATACCTGTTTTAAAATTAGAAAGAAAAGAAGCATAAGAGAATCAAATGATAATTAAAGTGAATGCTTACCATTATAGACTGCTTCATATACCTGAGGAAGCTCAGCAAGAAACTTAACAATGGAAGTGCAAGCAGAGCTAGCAGTGTCATGTCCACCAACCAACAACCCTAAAATGTTAGAAGCTATTTCCAAATCATGAATAAATTTCCCACTTTCATCACTTGTCAACAGCATGTGTGACAATATATCTTGTGTTGGCGATGCTTTTCCCTCTGCCAAATCAATCTTCCTTTGCTTTATGATTCTCAATAGCTCCTTTCTTATCAAATTTGAGGCTTTGATCGAACGATTATATGCCGTTCCTTGTGTTCAAATATAATTAAGTAAATAAAAGTGAAGCTCGCACTTGAAAAAAACTAAACATGTTAAAAATATTGTGATACACATGATATAGGGTGGGTTGATGAGTGGGTCAAGCATGACTAGCAAGCTTCTAGACTGACAATTTACTGAAAAAGATGCACATGTCACCTAAAACGAATTCCAAAAATAGGAGAGAAATTGAATACCTTTATAAGGCATGACACAAGTTCATATAGTATACGTACTTTGGGATTCGATAATGGCGTAACCCACAAGACAAATCTATGAGGTCTGTTGGGCCATAGTGGACAATACGTGCTATGAACGTGGATCATGATAGATATAATTAAACAATAAAACAATTGTTATATCTAATAAATTAAGCTTTTAGGTGAGAAAGTCACACGTTTTAATACCTGGCAAGTCAATGTCACCTAAGGCTAATCCATATCAGAATGAAAGAGAAAAGTAAAGAGCTTTATAAAGCATAGCACAAGTTCACATGGTACGAACGTTTTTGGGCTTGATAATGACGTAGCCTAAGGGATAAATTAGTGAGGTCTGTTTGACCAATTAGTGATAATACATGCCACGAACTTGCATCGTGACAAAATATAGTTAAATAAACAAAAGTATTTTCGCTAGCAGTTTAAAATTTTAGACGAAATGATCACACATTTCAATACCTGGCAAGTCAATGGGGATAGAAATCAATCCAGCAGCCAAAACACTAAAGGGTTTAGCAAATTCAGCAACATGTTGAGGATCTTCAATGCTCACAAATAATCGACAAGCTAGCCAAAAAGTATAGCTTTTGGCAAGAGGGTAAACTTGTACTTGGCCTTTATTTTCCCAACACGTCGCAAAATGGCGTTGTGCAATTTTATCCATAATCCCAACGTAACGTTGAAGAGCCTCTGGCTTCAAGAAATTTGGAAGCAATCTTCTTATTTTAATGCCTTGTTCATTTATACTAAAGTTTTGAGTCAAATTAGATGGGAATATTTTTTTGATGGAATTAGGCCACCATACTTGTACAAGTTTGTTTTCATTAGAAAACAAGAATTTGTTACCGGTAGCACCACAAAAGACTGCTGATTTTTCCATTAAAAGATGAGTTTTAAAGACGCTAGATGAGTACTTAGACATTCTATCGAAGATGAATTTTTCAGGGTGACCTTTCCAACCAGTTGAGAGAAACTCGAGGGTTTCTCCGATGACCGGCCATCCGGTCTTGCCCGGAGGTAGGGTTCCGGCCAAGACTGAGCTTTTGTTGAAGTAGAGTAGTTGAAAGGAGAGTGAAACCAACAAGATCACGAAGATGCAAAGGAGGAGAGCCAGAAAGAACAATTCCATGTCAAGTTGGTAAAAGCTTAAATAATGGAGTATAATATATAGCTTTTACCACATGAAATGAGATGAGTTTTGGTAATTGAAGTGTGCACATATACTTATAGTGGAGTGCAATGGAGCTAAAGAGTGGCACTAAACATCAATAGAAAAATACGAGAGATGAAGTAGAGGACTTTGTTGATAATTCATACTCATATAATAGCGAAATCTTTTCCGGAAAAAATGTTTCTCTTTTTTATTCCATATTCTAAGAAATTTAAATTAACGCAATGACGAAGACATTATATTTTATGTATATAATTTCTTGATTTTAATTCTTTTGTGTGCATTACTTTGTTCTATTACAGAAGCTAATGGTCCTGCGCAAATTCAAGATGCGACGACCAAAGAACCAAAATTTAAGTTGCACGGTGGCAAATTTGGTCCCGGCGGGGCTCGAACCCGCGACCTTCGGCTCATAAGACCAACGCTCTAACCAACTGAGCTACGGGACCGCTTATGTGCTGGAGTATCATGAATAATTTAATTAAACAGTAATATAGAAGCTCACTTTTGGTTTAAGACAAGTCATGCAAGGATTTGTAATGCAAATATTAGTAATGTAAGGATTGTAGTAGGGAGATATTTTGTTTGGTTGAATGAATAGTTGGCTATATTGTATATTAGTATACAATGTGTAGTTAAAGTATATGTTTACTTTTAAACAGCATAAAAAGTTTTCTACTATTGTAAGGGTTATTTTTTCCATTTTAGTGTTCTCATGTATTACTAGTATTCATATTCTTATTTCACATTCTTTTCTGCATAAAAATAATATATAAATTCTTGCTTAAGTTATGCTAGTATGTTTTATAAAATAAAAAGAGCAATCAAACATTATATAAATTAATGATGGTTTTTACGTGGAGATTAAAACTTCAAAACCCCAACCAAACTATCCCTTCTAACTTGTTATGCCACAGTACTTGAAATATGGCATGTGTTTGATATTTTGCGAAAATAGCACGGGCTAGTCAATTTTCGGAATGATAATTGAAAATAGTCAGCGTTTGTAAAGTCATTGAAAAATAGTCACTATTTTGCTGCAATACGGAAAGTTCCAGCATAATATACTGGAGATTGGAGCACATGTGTATGAACTTCCAGCATATTATGCTGGAACTCCAACACACGGAAAGTTCCAGCATAATATACTGGAGATTGGAGTACATGTGTATGAACTTCCAGCATATTATGCTGGAACTCCAGTATATTATGTTGGAACCCCATTATATTATGCTGGAACCCCAGTATATAATGTTGGAAGTTCACATGTAAAAACTTCGAACTCCAATATATTATGCTGGAATATTTTTGGATTTTAAATAGTGTTTTCGTTCAGATTTATCTTTACATCAAAAGTAGCTAAATTTCGATTACTTTTAAAACTGTTACTATTTTCAGTTACCTCTTATAATCTTGTTATTTTTGAATTTCTCCCTGATATTTTGGATGAAGTGGCATTCTAATGTACCTTGAGCTAATAAAGTGGACCCATCTTGTGAAGCCCATCTAGATTAAGAGCCGAATGAAGGTGGACTTCAAAATAAAGTTAAAAACTTAATCATGATTTGGTAATATTTCTTGAATTAATTTAAGGTTTAGCCAAAATTGTATATGCGATGTTGATCCAATAAAATTGAAATGTCTACACTCTTTATGTTAAAGTATATGTTAGTTTCTTACGTAAATCTTACTCTGAAAATGAGCGTTGCTTTTTATGCTTTTGTTGATATAATTATCCGTGCATGCGTGCACGTTACATCAATTTATTTTGCAGGTTATACACACGTTTGTGATATGAACAATTGAAATTATATCACAAAATTAGAGGATAAGCATGGACATATTTCTCATATAGCTGTGCTATATGATATATAATCTCAAGAATTAGAAACATAACAAAGCTACCGCAGCCACTAACACATTCTTTTTACTGATAATATAAGAATTTAACATCAATATATATACAAATTATAGTAGCCTTGCCATGAAAAAAGTACATAAAATTATATGCATAATCCATGCATCTCTCTCTCTAAAAATAAAAAAATAAGATAAGTGGGAAGAGAAAAGAAACGGAAGGAAAAGGGCAAGTATCATTTAATTTGTGCGGCCATTGGATGTTTTAGCATTAAGTGAAAGTAATTGAAAAGAGAAAGAGAGTTATAAGTAGTAGGAGAATAGACATAAACAAGAGCTCTATTTCACTGTCTTGCATTCTGATCAGTATCTTTGGTATAGAGTAATATTAAGATACAAGAAAGCGATTCCATATTTATTGTGTATAAGAAGACGCACGGCTAACGTTTATTGAATCTTATTAAATTAATTGACGATATGATTATATGGTAAAAAAATATTATATGGTAAAAAATTATCTGTAGTATGATTAAGCCATGTTAGCATTAATGAAGCATTCAAAGACTAATAGAGACCTGCCCAGACCACATGACTCATTAATTCACCGTCGTGAAAGGCAACGGCCTTACCAAGGAACATGTGTCTTTTATTTTGTTGAAGATATGATTATATGGTAAATAATTATCTGTAATATGATTAAGTCATGTTAGCATTAATGAAGCATTCACAGACTAATAGAGACCGGCCCAGGGCCGAAGACCACATGACTCATTAATTCACCGTCGTGAAAGACAACGACCTTACCAACGAACAAGTGTCTTCTATTTTGTTGAAGAAATTTGGTGAAACTCTTATGGTAGGGGCATTAATATGGTGCTCACAGCTACCAGCCCGCTCTATAGAAACCTTCGAGGAAATGGCTGGTAAGTTCGTAACGGCGCATGCCGGACCAAGGAAAGTTGAGACAAGAGTTAAACGACATATTCGCCATCAATCAATCCTTAAGAGAAGGACTGAGGGACTTCCTCGCCTAATTCAATAGGGTTAGGATGACCCTACCAAATGTGTCTGAGGGAAGGGTGGTCGCGACTTTTCAAAATGGGTTAAGCAGAGATGGTTCGAGAGCGACTAGAAAACTACTGAGCCGATTGATGAAATGCCCTACAACCACTTGGGACGAGATCCATAATGCTTACTATGTTGGAGTCCCAGCAGATGAGAACGACCTCAGTTGACCAACTCATCAGCTCATCTCGGTACTAGCCGAGTCCAGAAAGAAACGAAGAGACAACATCAGGAGAGATCACCCAGTCTCACAGACCGATAGGGAATGACACCAGCCATACATCAAGGCCCTCACCCCACCTTTTCTCCACCATAAAGAAGGCCCCTCTAGGCCAAGAATGGGGACTCAGCGGAACGAGAGAGGTATGCCCCCTTATTATCTATTCATTATTTTTTGGTATCACCTACAGAAATAGTCTATGCCCCGGAGAAACCCGGAACGAAGATGAAGTGGCCGCCAAAGATGAGATCCGATCCGAGTACCAGAAAATTCGATGCCCTAGGCGAATTCCACTAGGAGCGCAGAACAAAAAAAAAATTGCATGTTTCTAATTTAGAAGTAGAAAACAAAATCCCCTGTTGTAAACATGTTGCGGCAGGGACACTTCAAAGAATTGTTGAGCGGTAAGGGGAGAAATAACTTTGCCAGAGGACGCGAACATTAAGTCCCGACAAAGTTGTTGTCACCAGCTCGTATTATCAACATGATTATCGACGGCAGCGACAACGCCTCCATCAACAATGTTAAATTCACTATCACTCACAAACTCAAATGATCTATCATCCGTGAATGGTATGACAGACTCGAAGAAAGTATCATCTTCGACGAGTCAGATGCCGACGATTTGACTTTCCCTCATAATAATGCTATCGTCATTACTTTGTGCATTTTAGATATCGATGTCAAACATATCATGGTAGACGATGGAAGTGGAGCATGCATTATCCATCACCGGGACAGATCCACGTCCAATCTGCACTCAATAGTGAGTAAAAATGGTCGTTGGAAGAATAGTACCTAACAAGAATCGGGTTGATTTCTATAGGGAGTTTAATATGGGAGTTAAGGTTTACATTTGATGAGAGCAAATGAAATAACTCAATTGCACTTCCAAACAAGGAATTTTGCTTTCTACTTCTAAATTAACACTAACAATTATAAATTAATGACCAGAAACTAGGAAACAAGCAATCGTTTTTGTTGTTTTTATCAAATGGGTAAAAAGGCCTAGGAATGTAACCTTTACCTAGGTGTTCGCCTAATGGGTTAAGTACTTTAACACTTGTTTTATTGATCGGGGTATATTATAACTCTCAACTCTAAGTTACCCACTCAATACCTCTCGGTCATAGAGTGATTTTTGCCTAATTTGGCTTCCTCAAGCCCAAATGGGTATCAAGCTAACTAGTTGATATGAGTCAGATCAGATTTTCCCCATCTCTAGTTCAAACCCTTTAATTAGGCTAGTCAAATCCTTAACTAGCTACTCTTAGTAGAAAATAAAGAAAATAAAGGAGAAATACTAATTAAACCCATATTATAAAATTAAAATGATAAACTATGATATTTTTATCCCAAAACGATCACAAATTTCCTAAAATGGAAAACTACAACGACTACAGTTGCTAGAACTTCAAAACTTGACCTAAAAATATAATTTTCATCTATTTATAGTGGCCTAAAATTCACTGATAAAAATGCCTCTTAGGAGGTTTTGCAGCCGCACAATTCCATGTGGGGTCTGCACATTGCATGATTTTACAGGAGATTGGATTCTGCAGCTGCACAAATTAGTCTGCGACTGCAATTCAGCTTCTGCGGCCCCACTTTAGGCAAGGCTTCAGTCTTGGTCATTTGCGCACTCTATGAACTTTTTGAATTCTTGTCAGTGCAAATCATGTTCCGCGGCCGTACAAATTGTGTGCGCTCGACACTTCTGCTTTCAAGTACTACTGAGCTTCTTTATCAGTTCTACAGCCGTAGAGAGAATTCTGCGGTCTGCACTTGCTTCTGCGGTCACAAAAATACTTTTGCAGACCGCACTTCTAGTATGTTGCACCCTTTCTCGCGTTGTGGTTTGGAACACTCCTTTTTGAGTTGGATTTCTTCATTTTAGCTCAAATCTCCAACATTCTT